ACTAATTTAATAAATTTTCGGTTTGCTTTTTGCGAAATTTGGCAAAATAGTGCTAAAACGCTCAGAAATGGACCAAATAATGTACTTTTTGACCCATTTTAACGATTTTTTACCTTGAGTGAAATATCATTTAGAAAAACAAAACTATCTCTCGATTTTTCAATTTGTTTTTAAGAAAATTTTTGGCATATACTAAAACGTGATAGCTTGAACGCTCTCACACCCATGTAAAACGTTAATTTAACCATCTTTGTCACGCGATAGCAATTGTTTATTCCTGGAGATTGTTGCAAAAATTTGGAAGCACTAAAACTAGAAAACGGCAAAAGGTGGAGATTGAGTGAAAGTAAAAAACGAAAATTCAGTCATAATTCTACAAAGTAGTAGAGTTTCATAGAGAAAAAAGGCCTAAAAGTGAGTAAATTAACGTTTTAAAAAAAACATCACTAAGAGTGCGTTGGATTTCAATCATTCCATCTGACACTTCTGACAGTTGTTGACATTTCGCGTAAATGTGGCTCACATTTTTCAAGAAAATCACGAAAACAACAGAAAAACGAAAGTATTCGTTACTGGTGATTTGAAAAAGTCAAAACGGTGACGTAAATTTACAAATATAATCCTTATTTCTATCACTACAGGATTTATTTTTATTGCCAAATGCAGAATTAATTTTAAACTCATTATTCCTGTGTTCATTTGTACAAATTGTCCAAATATTGTCAATTTATTGGTAACAGTAGTTTTTTATTGCCAACTGAGAACACAGTTTTAAATGCAAAAAATTTGCACTTTTGTTATACAGAGTGGTTATAAATGATTTTCATCTAGCCAGCTTTGGAATTTTTTTGCATGTAGCTTTATTTGTGCCGCTCTACTTTTTTTGAAAGCTCTACTTCTGTCATTAGTGTCACTTATTAATTAATAATAAATTGTTGTTAATTAAACTTTTATTGTTTCAACTAATTTTCAATAATAATTGATAATAATGTATACTTTGGAAGAAAACAAGTTTATAATTGAAGTCTATTTTCGAAGTGGACGCTTACTAAACGGCGATTTTTTAATTTTGAGTTAAAACAAGTAGGTACCCCTATTTTCGTAAAGCGGCATTTTTTATTTTACATGGAAAATTCACAGCTGGCTAGATGAAAATCATTTATAACAACCTTGTACTAAACGGGAAAAAGATATGGATTTTTCAAAGGCAATTGAGGAAACAAATTTAAATTTATCATTTTTTAAATTTATATGAAAGCTTTAATCTGCATTTTTTTTAATCTACCGAAAAAAAAGTTGACGAAATAGTCCTTTAATTAATTTTTCCTGTCTAATTGTAAAAATTAATTTAAATTCATTATTTTTGCGTCTTTTTCAAAGCAAATCAGTTTTTTATGGATAATCGGTGAGGTTTTTGCAAAATCTTGAATTTGATTGGTTGGACACATTTGTTGTTGTTTTTATTTCTTATTAGCCAAAATTCGACAAAAATTTCAACTAAAACTTTCCAATTTTAGTTTCAAACGTCAATCGAAATGACAATAAAGCGTACATTGATATTTTTTGAATTGTCAAATATGATGTCCAAAATTTCGTGTCCGCCACTGTACAAACAAACAAGAAAGTAAAATATAACAAATCAAGTAAAGCAACTACAGATTTTTGTAAAAGGTAAAACATTCTCACTGCTAGTAGGGCCCCTTCAAAAAACTTTGTTTTTTTTTAAACATTTTGCCCTAGTTTTTAAGGTATATTTAAAAAGTAGATATTTCAAAGATTCTGTCCTGCGTTTTAAGGCATGCTATACAAATTTATGTAGATAACGATTTTAAAAGGAATTTGATAGATTTTTCCGAGTAAAATTGATGTAAAACTGTATTTATTCTCTTTTAAAGTTTCAACTATATGCCTCTGTTTAGCACAATTCAAGTATTCAAAAAGTATATTTAAAATAAAAAATCAAATATTTCAATTTATTAGACATTTAATACTCTCATGAAGGTACAAAACTTTTAGTTTAATGTTACTGCAAAGAAAACAGGCTTTGCCTTTGTTTTTATTTTTTCATATTAAGAGTTGCACTTCACTTTTCAGTAATGTATTGAAAATTTCCTTTTTTATTCCATTCCAGAAAACAGGCTTTGCCTTTGTTTTTATTTTTTCATATTAAGAGTTGCACTTCACTTTTCAGTAATGTATTGAAAATTTCCTTTTTTATTCCATTGACAAACAAGAAACTAAAATATGTAAAAAGCAACTATTTATTAATACTTTCATGAAGGTACAAATTTCTTGAAAACGACACTTAACCATCAGGATCTGACTTTGTTTTGATTTTTTCATACTGAAGTATTTCCTTCAAGAGTTGCACATCTCCTTTAATTGCTTGATATTCATCGTTACCAGACTCGGGAATTGCTTCAGACTTCATTGTTTTCAACATATTGTTAAGTTTTTCAACATCTTGGACATCTCCATGATCGACTACATTTTTTAACACCTGATTACCACTCTTTTGTGACGCAAACACAGGCCTCACTGTACCATTAGAATCAGTAACTGTTTCAATCCTTATAATATTTTTCTTACTTTTCATCAACCTTTCAACCACACTATTATCAACTAACCTAAGTTGTGATTTATCTGTTTTGCTTATATTTGCAAGATCGGTTACATGAATCTTTCTTTTTTTTACTACAGTATTCTCAGACTGACTAACTCTCTTGACACTTTTCGTAGATGTTGAAGGCTCAGATTCTAGATTTGGTTTTTCTAACGACAACACTGCACTCCAATCAAAAAGTGTATCAAAACGTTTTGAAAACAATTCTCGATGAAACAAAACTTCATTTCTAGTTGATTCACAGTTTTGTTCCATAGGCCACGCTAATTTGTCACTTTTCTTATGTTTCTGTTTGTATTCTTTGTGTTTAAGGATTAAGCTTCTCAAGCCTATTAAAGTGCTCAAATTTGGTGGAACTAATTTGCTACTACTACTAGTTGATTGGTCGGATTGTTTCTTTGATAATCTTTCTAAAATTTCCAAGTCTATGGTGTCTAAATTTGAGTTGCATTGCAAGTCATTTGGTATATCTAAATTGACTCCAAGAGTGGTCAATACCTCTTGTGCATTTTCGGTAGCTTCCACAAGATATGTTTCCGAAACAAACTTGTGTGTAGTTGTAGTAGTATTTTTAAAAAAGTCGATAAGTAAGGTATCTACATTTTTAAATTTTGTTTCAGAAGTTTTCACTTCAGCTTTAAGACTTTCTTGAATCATTTCAAGAGTGGGAATCTCATCCAAATCCCTATACTGTTCCGCAATATAATTCAAGAAACTGAAATGGTCGTCGCTCACTTCGTTAAATCGGTGCTTCCGTTTTGGTATATCCCGTAATTCCGAGTCGGGATTTTCGTGTAAAAAACTCTTTATTAATTTGTATCGATGTCTAATTTGTGCATTGCAACGTTTTAACCGATCGGTTAAACCGCTCCAGTTTTTCTCTCCATGTTCTTGGGCATAGTTGTAGATGATTTCATCGTCTTCGACAGTGAACGTCCCCTTTTTGATATTTCTTTGCAAATTTGAATTATATCGACTTTTGAGTTGGATTTGTGACCGATGAGGCATATACTCGGCACACTTTTTGAAATTTCGTCCGAATTTGTTGACGAGGATTGTGAGTAGAATGTCTTCGGCTTCGGAAAATTTCCCTTTTTTGACATGGTTTTGGGATAGGAAGTAAGTGTAGCGATGGTAGAGTTGGTGTCGTGAACGGTTGTCGAAATGACAAACTACTTTATTCCATGGAATGAAATTACCGATTTTGTAACTGTCGACAACTTCTAATAAAAATGAATCTTCTTCTGGAGTAAATTTGTTTTTTTTGAATTTGTCGCATAATTTGCTGAAGTAGTGGAGACAGGTGGTGAATCCGGTGCGATTGTTGTTGAGTTCTGAGGCTATCAAATCCCAGTTTTGATAAGAGTGATGTTTTGCGATTTTTTCCAATTTTTTGTTTTCTTCTTCGGTCCATTCCGATTTGTTTATTTGGGGGTGAAGCAGCATGTGCCATACGGATTGGCATTCCAAGGGAGTGTGTTTATCTAAAAAAATAAAAAAATATATACAAGGCTGTTCCGTCTAAACCCCACATTAAATGTATTGAGTGTTCAATAATCATATTTATTTGAAAATTGGCACATAGCCATAATCCATTAATTCCTCCTAAATGAAAATATTTTCCGCTTATACCGGAAGTCAGTCTCAACTTTCTTATTTTAAATGAAAGCTATATTTTTTACTGAGCTTTCCCTATACCTAAATTTAGCCGTTTTTGAAATATTTGGAGTTTTTAAAAAAAAATTTTGATCTGCACCTTCCACTTTAAAAATCGGTAACTCTGCCATTTTTTAAGATTTTGAATTCGTTTTTTGGCATTTGAAAGAGAAAGCTTAGATCCTTTTTCTGGTGTTTTCAAACTTTGAAAAAATAACATATCCCAAAATTTTAGGGTTACTTTTGTAATAATTGAAATACTCATATCTCAATTTTTATTTTGGCATAATAATAATAATTCACTGTCGACGTTTATTGAGAAACAATTTTGACATTTTTGATTTCCATAGCAAACTATACGAAAACGTAATAGATTTTCGGCAGTCTTAAAAAAAAGTCACCATAACTTAAAAATTATTAAATTTACTTTTATTTAGTAAAATAACAAAATTCGATTTTTTTAATTAATGATATACCTAGTACGAGTACATTAGGTCAAAAATGATAAAATTAAGCACATTGTTTAGTCAGAAACCCAAATGTTTTGTCAAATTTTCTCAAAAATAAATCGAAAAATCACCAAAATGGATCAAAAAGTACTTTTTTTTTACCTTTTCGGAGCGTTATAGTTGGTTTTTCAGCCAAAAACAAAACTATTTTGCAAAATTTCGTTAAAAACAAACCAAAAATTTACCAAATTAGGCCAAAACTAGTGTTATTTTTGCATTTTTAGAATGTCTAAACACGTTTTTCAAAGTTTTTCAAATTTTTAGTCAAAAAACGTCATTATTTTTGCCTTTTCAAGGGATTTAGGATTATTTTCAGGAAAAAACGCAAAATTTCGTTAAAAACAAGTCAAACCAGTACAAGATTAGACCAAAAATTATTACTGTTTGCATTATTTTGCCAAATTTTCTCAAAAAATCATCGAAAAATATTAGTAACGAAAATAGCTTCATTTCGATTTTTTATGAGATCTCATTCATCATGGTCAAAAAATCTCTAAATTGGGTCGAAAAGTGCATTATTTTGGCTTTTTACGAAACATTTTAGCAAAAAGAATTATTGTGCAAAACAAACTGAAAATTAGGCCAAAA